TTATTTATTATATAAATATAATATGGTCCCCATTAATATATTACATTTATTTATTATATAAATATAATAAGTAATAGCAATGATTTTAAGCTTACAAAAGTCAATAAAAAATCATGTTTTTAATTGGTTAGTATAACGTTTTTGAGATGTAATAACATTTTTGTTTTTAACATTTAAATTAATGTTTTTGAGACATTACATTCTAAAATAACAACATACTTCTAGAGTTTCCTCATTTATATCAACCTATTTTTTACAAAACTATCTAAGGGGGTGTTTGGATAGGAAAAAAAGAGTTGCTTATTGCTTATTCCCATAATAAGCTAATTTAAGTGTTTGGATAAAATCCAGCTTGTTAGGCTAAATAAGCTAACTTTAATAAGCATCCCTCCTCATGCTTATTGCTTATTCCCACCACAAATAAGCTATAAGCAATAAGCTAAAAATATAATCCAAACACCCCTAAGTGTGAGGGCTTTTCAAGCATTGATGAATTTGCAGCCGCAATACTTGAGAAATTTGTAACAGTTTACCATAAGGCCCCTTTATATCACATGTCTTCTCTTTAGATTAAGTAAAAAATAGTGCCATTGTCACGATACATTTTTATATATTAAGGTTTAATTTGTAAAGAACTTATAACTTAAAGAAACAATACTTTGACATTCCGTTCCATGCGAAGAGGAGGTAACCCTGTAGTTTTATTATAAATTTATAATTTATTTTAATTGTTTCAAGTTTGAATTTATATATATTCATCTCAACTTAATTATATAATTAATTAAATTTAATATTTTCAAATATATGTAAATACTTTAATACTTTGATAATTTTAATCATGATAACATAAATGTTGTCCCTTTATTAAAAAAAACAAACATAAATAATGTAACACCCATAATATATGGAGACTAAAAGTTTTGAGTTTTGAGAGTAAATTTCATCAAATAAGTATACAAAAAATTTATTAATTTAACCAAATTTACTAATTATATTTTACAAAATAGCCCAAAAAACAATTTTTTGCAAATAACCTTTAAAATCGTAGATGACTAAATTCCGTCTGTTATTTAGGCTTTCCATTTGCTATTTAACAAATGTTAGAAAAAGCTAAAATTTTCCAATCAGGACACCAAATTGTAGATGGAATTTGTTCATTTGCGATTTCATTTCTTCTCCATCTGCGGTTTTACTTTTTTTTTTAGGTTAGGTTTGACTACGAATTTGGTTAGGTTGACTATGAATTCGTACATTGTTGATTATGAATTCGGGAGAATAAACGAAATTGTCCGTTGTTCTTTAAGCAAGGGCTTTGAGAGATTTTTCACAAATTGAAAGATGGAAAAATGAATGCTTTCCAAAAAAAAATAGTATTTAAACTTGGGCCGGTCAAAATTGCAAATGAACTTGGTTCAAATCACAGATGAAAGTCCATCTGTGAATGTACAAATCTTTTATGCACAGTTCATACATTAATAGTTTGTATATTTGCAAACGGACTTTGATTAATAGATGGTCCCTAATTACAATTTTAGTAGCTATTTTCTGAATTTTTGCTAATTTTTGACTATTTTGTGAAAAGTAATTAGCAAATTTGGTTGTATTTGCAAATTCTTCGAAAATATAGTTTTGATATAATTAAATTATTGAAATTAATTAAAAAAATATATCTATAGGATTCATTAATTTTATTTTGATTATTTTATTGTTGTTTGTATATATTTTCTGTTTATAATACGTATTAGTTGAAAACGTATGAGATGCAAGATAATGAAGTTTCTTTAGTATTTTATTAGTTTGAAAAAAAAAGTCTTAAAAAACTTTTATTATATAATGCTACAAATAAGCTTTTGTGTTGGTTACTTGGTTATATAAGAAGTTTTGTGAAAAAACTTTCTAAATATAGATACTCCAAGTATATTGCGTTAAGATAGTTTGTTTTGTGAAAAAACTTTCTAAATATAGATACTCCAAGTATATTGCGTTAAGATAGTTTCTTTCATTTGAATATTAATACAATCTTAAGATTAGATATTCTATTTGGTTTTGTTTAAATATTTTTTTTTGCGGATATAGAAGCTAGAAGCTTAGATATTGTCATTAAAATTTTAAAGATATTGTTAATAAGAAAAAAAATCCTCGATTTAAATAAATTTTATCATGTATTTCAAAAATACCAAAAACGGGGACAAGGAGAAAATGAATAGCATAGTTGTAGAGAATCTGCCCGGCAGCCCATAACCTAAACCCGGAGATCCCCATGCGGATACCAAATCCCACACGCACATGCTTGATCTACAAACTTCATATATATATATATTTTTATTATTATTATTATTAGGTTATAACCCGTGGAAACCACGAATAAGTTTTATAAAATTTTATTAAACTAATAAGATATATGTTTTGTTTAATATTTAATATTGATTATTTAAAATTAATATTCATTTTTATTTGAATGTCTTATATATTTTATGTATATGAAGACATTTAATATAATTATGATTTATAGAACAAAATATAAATTTAAGATCCATATATAAGTTCAAAATCATGTAATACACAAGTTGATAACATAAAAGAGCAAAAAAGACAATGTACTTCGAAAGTATGAGTGATCCAATCACAAGCATATATAATAGCTCATCCAATAAGACATGTATGATTAAATCACAAGTACTATTAAACTAACACATAAATATATTTTAAGTAGAAATATTAAAATACATATCTACATAGTTTCTTTTGCCAGTTAATATATATTTTCACTATTTACTTTTTATAAATTAAAAATATAATGAGGGGTTTAAAATGAAATTATAAAAAATGTTATAAAAAGATGTAACATGAAGTTTATATATAAACTAAAGGACGCTAAGTATAAATGAATAAAATATTAAAAAAAAAAGGATTGTAATAAAAGTTGAATATAATATAATAATTTTGAATGGAAACACAGAACACAAAACCTACATTATCAACTTGATGTTAAGGAACATTGTGGCGATGTGCAAGATCAATTAATCGGTTTTATCAAATGAAGTAAAAAGTTAGTAGCTAAATAAATTAACAATAACTTTTTCATATGAGTTGTACCGAAGCCAAATAGCAATAAACGTAGGCTTCGTTATGGCAATGGTTGCAATTGAAAATTTCAACACAACATGCTGCGTTGATTAATTTTGTATCAATCTTTTCCTTTTCCATCCAAGATTCCTGAAAATGCATTTTCCTCTTCTTCAATTTCTGCTTCTGTTTCCTCACTGACCCCCAAAAAAAAATGCAATAACCCATGGATCTGAGATTATAATTTATAAATATGTTATAAATGAATATATATATATATATATATATATATATATATATATATATATATATATATATATATATCCTGATGAACATTAGGCATTTTCCTTATTAATATGGCCAACCACATTTGTGTCTATTCTCATCCTTATTTATTTTCATTAATTATAAATTTCCCTATAAATTGCATCACCTCAATCGTCACTCTTTTTGTTCAAAAAGAAAAATGTAAAAAATAGATGTGCTTACTATCAATTATGTTATTCACCCGAAGAATACCAGGAGATAAGATTTACATGAAGATTGAATTGCAATCGATATGCAGGGGAAACTCCATAACCCAAAGCACAAGAAATATCCAATTCAAGAAACACCAGAACCTAAAAACACAAAAAGATCTACAAACCTCAAGTACAAAATCCAGATTAATCATGAAAAAACCAGAAAAAATAAGACGTTAAAACCCAAATGAAACTACATATCATGTCAAAACAGTTATTAGGCAGGAAAGGAACGCAAAATGGTTTATATGCCAAAAATTTCAGAAAAAAGAAAAATCTACAAATCTGATCAACAAGTAATGAAAATCTTCAAAGTTCTTGTGTTCAAATGCCTAATATGCTTCTTCTTTCATCCAAATTAGATTTGCAGTATTCCTTTTAATTTAAGGTTTTGGTAACAACCCAAGACTTCAGATCAAGACTTATCTTTATATGCTTTGGGAAAGAGCGAGAAAGAAGGAATAAGATCAGTGCTACTCCTCTAGATATAAAAGCAGAATATTATCATTAAGAATAATCTCACTTTTAATGCCTATGTCGTATATTTTAACGTCGACAAAATCAGGGGCTTATCAATGGTCACTTTGTGCGAATAACGTGAAGTGCGATTAAATACAATAAATGACATAAAAATAACCCGGATTGTTAGTCTTACGGATCCAGTGAAGGAATAGTATTCCGTAAAGATGCAATTTTCCTAATTTTAACCTTCTCAGGAACCAAATTACCATAAAACTTTATATACAAAACCCCTAGCAAAGTTTCTTCCAATAAACCTCTAGCAAACGCTGTTAGCTTGTTACCTGAAACATCCAATAAGAAGAGAAAGGGTTGAAGAACATGCCACATAAAACCATAAAATAAACATCAATGGGAAAACACAACAAAGATGACCAATAAAATCTCTAATCTCTGAATGATGAAAGCTATGACAAAGAAGCACGAACCTTCTGATGCGTGAGATGTGGCCGACGACCGTTAGGGTTGGAGAGAAGGAGAGACGATATATGAATGAAAATCAAATGGGATTTCCTTCAAGATAAATGAATGTGTGAAAATTCAGAACAAGTTCTGAGATGGTGAAGCAAGAACCCGCTTCTAGGGTTTTATGTCCTTTTGAAAGTCGATGGAGAGAATAGGCTGGCGGTCATGATTCTCGGTGATGAGTAGCTAATTTCTCGGCTTTAAATTGGAAACTATTATCACTTTCCAACTTATTGTTATAAGAAAAATCCGAATTTAAAATTCAAAATTCAAAAGTAATAAGATAAATCGGATTTGGAGATAGCAGATTAATAGTTTGAGCGGGAAACATCAAAATAGTTTCTTCAGGAGATGACATGTGGCATAGAGTAGGCGTAAGAAGGAGCCATGTGGCAATCTAGAGAGTGTTTTATTAGGAGTAGATTATTATTATTATTATTATTATTATTATTATTATTATTATTATTTTGGATTTGAGGATATGAGTTTCTACACCACATGCTCATTTGACTTGCACCCATAAAATTATATTATTTGTCATGAAAAAAATATGTCATACATAACGGTTTAACATTTATTCAATTGACGGTTGAGAAAAAAAGACATATTCACCCTCGACGGCGTCTTCCTTCATCGTGGCCATCCTCAGTGTCGCATCTTAAACACAACCATCACTGGCGCATATAAAGCCAAACATTTGTTAGTAATAAGGGATGAACATATTGTTTGGATTCTCTGAAAGTTGTGATTCACTATCAAATTGAAGTATTTCGATGATACAGATCGAACACTCAACTGGATGAAATTCAAAGATACGAAATCAGAGAATGTATCTGAAAATGTTATTGAAGACGTACCAAAAAATTGACACAAAAATGACTATATGATTCTTGTATGGAAACTGTCACTAGACAGTTACAAAATGTTATAAAAGACTACCAAACCTGTCATTAAATGGATCTCAGAGAAAAAATGATCAACTTTCTAAAATTGGATTTTCGATCCCAGCCATGGGCTTGCCCCTTGGATCCCACCAGGGGTTGCCGACCCTGGGACTCCACTCCCAGGGGCATTGCCCCCGGAGCCTCGTTCATTTAGGGGTTTCACCCCTAAATAATAGTATACTTTGAATCTTAAAAAACTTGAACAAGTATGCACTCCTACACCATCCTAATTTGTTCAAAATTCAACAAGATCACTTTTGGTCAACATATTTAATCCTATTACACTTAAATAATATTGATGATATAAAATCACCAACACCATTGTTGCCTCTGAACCCAACTCTCGACTCCCAAGCTATCGTCAGTGCATTTGAATCCAACCCTCACTTCATCTGGACCATATCATCGTTGTCTTCCTTCCCTGCACCCATTGAACTTACAAATATGTGAAGATCCATATTGCTGATTTTCTTTTCTGATTATGGGTTTCGAGTTGGACATTAGGTTTATCTAATTTTCTTTTTGGTTTTGTATAGATTTTCAGTCGTGCAACCATGATTTTGTTTTAGGATATGCCAAATTTACAATATATGAACGAGTAACAGAATACTTGAAATGATAACAAAATATAACAATGTATGCATTTTAAAGTAAAATCTTTATTTAAGTTGCACACGATGCTATCTTATCTTTTAAAGATCCTTGATTATCTATTTCTGTTGTGGTTTTCTTTTCGCCTTTTGGTAAATCATTATGCGTAAATGAATCTAATCTTTTTTACTTTGTTCCCATTGCTCAACAAAATTCATTAATCACAAAAAATTCCAATTAGAAACATACTATTAAGTTCTTATACAAACTAAAATTATATGTAATATAATAATACATATAATACAATAATACAAATAACTAATTCATTGAAACACGTAATAACCTAATGATAAATTAAATATTCTTCTACCTTTTATTCCTATTTTTGTTTCTACCTATTTAAGATGATGTATAAATTTAACATCTCAATCAAACTAAAATTAAATTGAATGACACATGTCACCATCTAAAATATATAGGAAGATAGTAGGAACAAAAAAATAAAAAAATATATAATTTCTCTAACCTAATTTATTAGAGACATTCAGATAAAAATATAAAATGAATGCAACCCAACCTAAATTGGTAAGAAATAAGTCAACTTAAAATTATGTTTGACGAACTAAAAACAAATAATTGAGTAATTAAGATAATAAAAATATATCATCATATCCCTAAATAACGAATTCACATGCATTGAAATTGATATGAAATAAGAAACGAGGGGAACTCTTCAAAAAGTGGCAGCATCAAATGTTTATCAGAGAGGTGGGTATGAGCAACGTCCAAAGGGACGTTATTGGGTGTTATAACGCGTGAACACCATCCTCCTTCCTCGTTATCGCGTGTTGTTCCCCGTTACCACCATAATACGTTATAACGCATTTTTTTGTCTTTTTTCCTAATAATGCAGGTGTGAGCGTTGCCCATACATACCAATCTCAGCGAAATATGTTTTTTCAATTACAACTTTTTTTTTTAACGGGTAAGACCATTTGAAGCCTAAGTCCTCTTGCTTGACAATTATATATATATATATAGGCGATGACCCACTCTTTACATCTATATGACTATACCATTGATCATTGTAGATTTTGATGTTTTTGATTTTGTGACTCATTTTCACGAAATTCCATATAAAAGGAGCTTCGTTTAGACTTTAGAGTTTGAGTTGTTTATTTAGTGTATAAAATATCAAAATGTTGTTTTGAAATATAATTTTATACAGACAGTAACATTCAATCCGTCTGAAATTCTTTTTAAAATAAATCTACTTACAAAAGTAAGCAGTAAGCATGCCAAGTGTCTATCTATGTAGTTTTTAAAAAAAAAAAAAGGGTTTCTTGGTTTTATGAAGAGGCAAAGTAACATTCTCTCTTTCTAGCTGCCGCGATCTCGATTTTGTAGGTAAATTTAAACTTTCAAATATTAAATATATATGGGCATCAGATCCGAAGCATTCTCAAAACATCACACCACACACCCCACGTGCATCCACTCATCCTCTTTGTCCCCTTTTCTCTTTACATCTTTTATTTATATTTATTTCAGAAACTACACATATAGGAGTATATTTATATTTATTTATTTGAGTTTTTTCACTTGCCTACAAACCGACTAGTCTACAAAAAGTTAAAAGAATTTTGAGTTGATGCTGTAGCGTGGATTTTGACATGTTAAGGAATCAAATTCCAATCAATAATTATTTCACATATCAGCATCACTTCACTTCGATGTTGAATTTTTATTGGCTTCTTTAATTATTTTGTTTGTAAAATTTCGGATTTGAAGATTCGACCAATTAATTGTTGTTTACACATCACATCTAGTGAGTTGATATGTTTTAGTCCATTGGCTCGTACTATGTATCTTTTTTGTTTAATAGGTTTTTAATTCTTCCAATAAAGGGGTTTCTCAAGGCTCAAGTAATTTCGCAGCGAGTACATGTTTTAAAAGTTCTAAAGTAGCAACTGCGCATTACTATCGTATTGCAGTTTACTATACATACTGTTAATGTATCATGTCAATCATATTGAGTTCATGAATTTTAACTAAATTACTTCAAATACTTTTTTATCTCTCCTTGTTACAGATAATTGTTTACATTGGTTACTTTGCTTAAATTTGGAGAAGAAAATATCAAAAGAAGACAAATGTAGGCATATATGGGTTGCTGCCAAATCTTTCAAAAAAAAAAAAAAATTTACAAAATAAACACTAATTTTGAACTCACTAGTTCCATCGAAAGTAGTCCTTTTATTTCAGACAAAATTTTTTAAATCTTTCCTCATTTTAGTATTTTACATATTTTTTAGGAAATCTGTCTCAAAATCAACAAATCATTATCATTTTCACATTACCGATCTCTTTTTCTGTAAAAATGGTTTTTGAAGATCACAACAAATCAAAATTCATTTTTGTAACAAAAATATAATTTTAGCAATAATATGAACAATTTAGGAGTTTGCAGCAAATAATAAATTTTGCTATAAGCCATTGCAAAATTGTCGGTTACCTATCTATAGAAAAAATAAAAATGGATATTTTGTAGCAAATCATATACGATAGTGCTAGGCAGCATTGTCTTTTTCTCTTAAATTGTAAAATAAGATGACTATTGGTGTAATTATAAAAATATATTTATTATTTATCCACACACCTTTTTATTAAGTATTTACTTGCTTTCTAGAAAGACTCCTAAGAAAATTAGTTGCTTCCACAACAAGAGATTCCGTATCGAATTCCATTGATATATATTGTTTTAACACTCAAGCATCCATTAATGGTGGATGAATTCTAATTCTAATTTATATTTAAATGTCGAACTAAGAAAAACATTTAAGAGGATTAATTGGTAATAGTAACAAATTAACGATACAACACGACTAGTATGATGACTTTGGAGACAATACATAAAGCCTTTTTGTACTGCACAAGTACCAATTCTAAAAAGAACATTCACTGGTTAATTCAAAATGCAAAAAGTGTGACTCCCAAATTACAAAAAAGCCACTTTTTCCGTTTCTCACACCAAATTCATTAACGACAACACACATGCATCCGGATCCGGTTCACTTTTAAGGGAAACAACTTTAAACTTATATAAAAAAACAAAAAAGTCATATCTTATTATTTATACAAATAACTAATTTCAATTTTATTAACTTGTTTAATTTATGATTAAGACCCAAAAGTATTAAAATACAACGACCCTTCTTGAATTGGAATAATTTGCTTTCATGTGGAAAGTATGATCAAGATAAGACTTTCCAATTCCATATACACCCATTTTGTATGGACGGATGAAATCAACAGAATAATGTCTGCACCCTTACGAATATTATTAACTAACTATTTAAATTCAACAAATCCAGAGATAAGAACACTAAAATATGTGAAATTTGTAGAAATGTAAAATATTAAATGTGGTGGGTTCAGATCCCTATGTTATGTTATGCAAATGGAAAAAAAAATAAATAAATAAAAATATATTGATAGTCATAGTCATACCCCACAAAAATTACTGACACTGTGGTGTGTAACAGTAGTGCAGGCCAGAAAGGAGGGACTGAAGTCTGAATAGATGTATGCAAATAGTGATAGTTATATATTTGTTGCAGAATGAGAAGAAGCTTCTAAAATGGTGTAGTACACAAATCAAGGAAATTAAAGCAGATGTTTTACACATAGTTAGGAATTGATGTGCCTATACATATATAAAGAGTGGATTCCATATCTGGATTAATTAATTACTTACTGACATAATTAACCTAAACAAACTGAAATATGAAATTAGAGACAGCGAGGAATTAATGCTCGTAAGAATTATTAAGAACAGTTAACGGAGAAGAAGAAAGAGAAGAAGGCATATCTGGTCATGTAATTTAGCCTAGTTTTCACCTGGTTGAATATCGGAGAATTATGGCTTTAAACGAACCCACTGGTATCTACCTTCCATTGGAACATCGTTCACGATATCAAAGTTGTACCTGATGAATCAAAAACAACAACAAAATTAGTGTAAAATGTAAATGCTGTTTGTACTTTATACTGGACTGGAATAATAAAGCCTGTCATTGGCATGCTTACTTGTCCGCGAATCGTTTTTGTTCTTTCTTTTCCGCTGTGGAGAAAAACTCATCAATCTCCGCCGCCGTTGGAAGATTTGATACTGACACTGTTACCGGTTTACGACGGGAAGTTGCTGCTGTCTGTGGTGGTGGTGCGGAGGCTGGTGGTTGCGTTTTCGTTGTTGACGGTGATTCCATTTCTTCTGAATCTCCACAAATCTCACTTAAAGAACACGTCTCTCTACTGTAAATTACAGAAACACGAATCAAAAAGATTACGCCGTTGAAGTTGTTTATGTAGAGAACATGAAATGGTAAAATTTATGAAAATTAAGAATCGTTTTATTAATTACTTTTCGGTTTCAGAAATTAGAAGAGGTTACTTGACATTGGAATTGATGAAGAGGAAGATGAAATTAATTACTAACCTGAAACCGTCATTGCTGGACATGGAGGCTTCAGTTTGGAAACGAAGCTCCGCCTGCAATTAAACATTCAAAGACTTAATTAATTCACCATAATTGATCAAATGTAAAACGATTTTCATTTCTCTCACATCCAGATTCCAGACGAAGCATATATAACTTGTGAATTTTGAAATTTACCTTCAGATCTAAGCTCAAATCATTTTTGAAACATTGAGACGACACAACATGATCACAACAACCAGATTCCGCCGAAGAAATGATATCCTCCGGGAAATTCACGTCGACTCCACTTCGGCACTGATTTTCCAGCTGAACAGCATTCTCTTGATCTAGAGGATCGAATCTTCTTCTCTTACCGGAACCGGAGCTTGTAGCCTCCGTCTCTCTGCTCCGCCGCACACCGCTATGTAATTTTGAATCGTCCATCACTGAAATCTGATCAGGTTCTCTCTCTAGAGATATCTATTAACACTACTCAACTCGTTGAAGAGAGAGAATAAACGGGCAATACATATATATTAATCGGACGGTGGAAAGTTACGGAGTTTGTTATTTTCTTTCGAAAAACTCTGCTACTTTCCTTTTTTTTCTTTTTTTCCCCTTAAAATAAAAACAGTTAGGTATTTATTTAAAATTTAAATTACTTTTTACTAAAAGTTAGTTCAAAGTTTTTTTTTTTTTTTTTTTTTTTTTTTTTTTTCACACAACCGATAATGATATAACATATTAACATGTATTCTTAATTCTTACAACAGATGTACAAGAACTTGTTTGGACGAAGTAAATTGAATAAATAATTTGAAACTACACTCGAATCAGTTGGTTAACTGTTTTAATTTTTTCAAAATTTTAGTTTTTGATTCCGTACTTATTATATATATATATATATATATATATATATATATATATATATATATATTTACTATCTTATAAAATAAATCTAATTATTTCTAAAAATAGATTGATTATAATAATATTATTCTTTTAAGACGTTCAAATGATAAAGCTGATAGTACAAGTAACCATTAATAAAATAATATTAAATTTTAACCATATTTTGAATTCAAATATTTATCATCAAATCTCCTTATATTTCTCAGCAATTTGATATGGTTCCCTAAAATCTCGAATTCATTCAAATTTTGAACCCTTTTAGATATTCTTAAATTTAGCATGCTGATTCAAATATCCCTTCAATCGTATATACCTCTTTGTTCCCTTCTCTGCTATAAAGCCTACCGTTCAGGAACAAAAAAAGACTTCATCTCCCAAATAACACCATAGTTTGATTATTTTGTCTTCGACATGTACTTTCTTTTGTAACATAACATTTTTGTAGAGGAAACATATCACCGAAAGAATTTACACGTCCCGCCGCTTTGCGCGGGTACACTGCTAGTATATGTATATATATATATATATATATATATATATATATATATATATATATATATATATATATATATATATATATATATATATATATATATATATATATATATATAAACTTGAAGCAAACCGTTTATGTTTAAAGTTTGAAATTTTCATTAAACATTATGTGAATTCGAATCACAGGTTGGAGTGGGATTCAATTAATTTGAAAACAAAATCTGATACACAGTAAATTTTAATTGGAAACTTAATTATGATATTACGTATTTAGGGTAGTAATCCAAAAAAATTATTGTATTTATTTGAGTTGGAAGAAAACTGTCTTGCCAAAAAAGTATTTTAAATAATAATTATATACTCAAAATATTTCATAATATAGCAAAATTAAGAAAGCTTATAAAAATATTTATAGCATAATTACAAAACAATTATGAAAATTCGGATATGTAATTATGTGTTTTATAAACAAATAATAATCACAATTATTTGCAGGATATTTAAAATAAAAACTTACACCATTTTACTAACTTTTTTAAGCCAGCCAAAAATTTATAGTACTCTTGCATTCTTCATTGTTAAATATTGTATTTAGAATATTTATATCGTAAGTCATTAAACTTAAATCTATAATTGTAATTGAGTTAGTTTAAAATAGGTGACATACACTCTTCGAAGTTTGGACAGTATTCCAACGGAAATATACCATCTTATCCAGTAGTAAATAGTTGCAAACTATTTGTAATAGTATCAAATTTAGCATTGATCGGTGTTCGCCGTTCGGTAACAAGTTTTGAAGATTTTTGATCCTTTTTCAAATTAAAATTAAGACAAAACCAAAAATGGTCTTTATAAAATGATTTTATAAATAAATTCGGCAAATGATCAAAATGTAGTGTGAGTTTGAAGAAAATGACTACAAAAATGAAGATTTAAGAAAATGACCACATGTTACGCAAAGGGGTTCTGCGGAATCATAAACACCTCTGCGAAATGTGAACACCTCTGCGGATCTTGGTTTTCTTCATTTTTTTTTTCATTTTCTGTTTTTTTTTCGTTTATTAATATTTTTTTTAATCACATAAGGTATTTTGTGTACTCTGTTTTTGTAACGTACTTATACCATGAACACCTGTGTAACCTATACTATTTAATGAATAAAATTTAATGTTTCTATAATATTTGTATTGTTCAATGTATTATGTATACATGATCCAACATCCTAACGTCGTACATTCTAACGTTTCCACCGCCGATCAGGGTGTGACAGATTGGTATCCGAGCTACATGTTATAGCGAACTAGTAATTTCTTAGGAACTATGACTATAATATAGGGCATATACTCTAAATTAGGTTTAACCCTTAAGCCTAATTAATTAAAAGTATTATTATTAATTACCCTATTGATAAACTACTTACAGGAGAGGTGTCTAGTTTGAACTATCACTTGGGTTGTTGGATTTTAGAACGACTATATGCTCAAATGGTCATGACCTCTGGTACTTCTCACCTGGCCAATCCTTAATTGATAGTCTTGAAGTATAAAACCAAAAATCAATAAAAGACACTCAACCAAACAAAAATTTAAAGATATAGAGCTTTATAAATATGTTCATATAAATATATCTACTCACCCCAACACAAATCCACGAAATCACAAACATAAGATTTTAGGTCAAAAACACTATCTAAATTTAGTATAGTACATCGGTCGTACCACAACTAGACCTAGACTGCCCAACTAAGTTTTATTATGGTCCTACCGACACACGACTGAACTAGGATATAATGGTTGGTAATCTAAACACTTGAGGACTTTTGGATCGGATACAATACTTGGAGATCCTTTCCTTTCTTTTGAATTCAAGATTTGATACCTTGAGGATTCATGGCTTTGAAATTTACCTTTAGGATTTAGGACCTAGTAGGAAAGCTTAGGATTTTCTGGTACTATCTATTACATACTTATAATTAGATATTATTTCTATTTAATTGATTTCATAATTCTCATAAAAATCTTCCATGTTTGATGTCTTATGCAGGTTGCCGGAGAGCGATGACGAACAAAGGATCTTGGATGACAGCTTCCCTGAGGACACTCCGTCCCTAGCGTTCCAACAATGCTCACACCCATAGTTTCCGAGGAGGAACCCATAGAGGATGAGACTGACAGAGTTGATGGTTCAGACTCTTCCAAGCCAACTAAGGAGGACTATATGCCAACAACGCAAGAGCACATAAGCTCTGACTGCGATTCGAAAAAAAGATAAAAAGGATATTCCTACCTCAGTGGATATTTCACCACCACCAGCACTTTCCCATAGATTCTACCGATCACGCCTTAATGGTACTCGCGTCAAGACCACCCCAAGGACAACTATAACTATAACGATCCTCTCTAGGAAGAGGCCCACATCCCCGCTAGCATCCCCACCTCCAGAAAAGAAATTCTATAAAGACTATTCGTGGATACCACAAATCAAGGATCCATCGGAGACCTCCATGGTCACAAAGAATCTAAGAATTTGTTAATATGTGGGTGCGGAGAAAGTTGTCGTCAAGATTATGTATGTAAGAACATATATGTTGTCCTTCCATACGGAAGCTAATAAGAAAGAACCCCCTTATTGTCAAAAGTTACTTATGGAAGCGCCAGAGATCCTAAGAGAATAACATTGAGTTGCTTATACTAGGTATCAGATATAGAGAACATGGTTAGCTCACAGTATGGGTCAGTGATCCTTGGTGGAGATGGGTAATTGGGTATCTATCGATCGGATTTAGAATTCGATAGGAGCATTTTCTCTTGGATTTGACCAGTATGTGAGGGATCATCGAGTTTAGTTTTTTTTATCTGTTTCTGATTGTTGGTTATTTCATTCCTCATCAACAATTGAGGTTATTCAAAAGCTTCAGGATGTATTTGTTGAAGGTGTAGTTAAGGCGTCATGCTTTGTCAAGTTCTATAAGGTGTATGTTTACTCTCAGCTGTTTGGTTCTGGAATTGTTGTTCCTAGTAGGATCGAGTTAGCATCTCTCCTTAGTTGTTCGGAGTTTGGATGTCAGAGCGACGTTGTTTAGTTTTCAGGCATGTCTATATACAAAAAGCCCAGTTTTGGCGGGTTATTTCGGTTGGTTTTGTTTTGGGATTGATTCAACCAGATTGTTGGAAACATATCTGGGTAATTTTTGGAATTCTTATATGAATTTGGAAGTTCTATTGCACATTGGTGGATCTGTTCGACTTTATTTAAGGTGTGGGATCCTATTTTGATTATTAGAAGAATTTTTTGTTAGCCGATGAGGTTTGTCTCTTCGTTTGATCCATTGGTACTTCACGCTTTCAGTAAGGTCATAATGAAGAGGGGAAATAGTCGGCCTGAGGAGCGTAGTGTTTTCTCTTGGAGATTGGGTATTGTTGGCAGTTCCATAAACTTTATCGTGGACTGAGTATGATAACATGAGAATACCTGGTCCAACCTTATGGTATGGTTCGTCTGATGATGTGTTAATGACATCCTGGACTATGGAAGGGTTGTGTGTTATAGAATTGCATGGCTCATGTTGTTTTTGGTGAATGTTGAGTGGGTTGTTGGTTGGTTCATACAGGCTGGTGGGATGATGACCATGTGCTTATAGGCCCACCGGGTGCTGGTCAGGAGTCTTCATGTAACGACCCGTTCCTGGTATGTTAATTCATTGGTAATTGTTGTAAGTTTTGCAAGAGGGACTCGGCGAGTTCATAGCCTGACTCGCCAAGTAGGGTCGCGACTTCGAGCACGTGTGAGCCGGGGACTCGGCGAGTCCATCCGTCTGGGTGAAACCCTAAATCCCCGGGTTGCCCACTATTTAAGTCACCTTATAGCCCCATTCTCGCCTCCCTCACCCTGAGAACACTGTGAGAAAGAACCCTAATCCACCCTTGTGTGAGCTAAGTGTTTTGTGCCATTTTGTGAAGGTTTGAAGAAGGAGAAGAAGAAAGGAGCAAGGAGAAGAGGTGTAGTGCAAAGATCCAAGGGCAAATCTGAGTTATTTGAGGTATTTTCGGATTTCCCCTCTTGTTATATGCTTTAAACCTCCATTAGAGCTCTCCTAGGATCTAGTTGATGCTTGTTCCAAGCCTTATGTTTGCATGAATGCCTTAATAAGTCGAGATATCTTTAGATCTGAATGATTGGGTGTTGTAGAGCC